CCTTGGGTTTTAATTGACCTGTTGTTGTATATGACCCCTGTTGTTAAAATATTGCCCCTGTTGTTGTATATTTACCCGTTTGTTGTATTTGACCCTTTGTTTATATTGAAAACCCCGTTGTTGATATTGACCCGTGTTTTTGTTATTCCCCGGGTTTTTTGTATATTGACCCCGGGGTTTTGTATAATTGGGCCCGTGTTGTTGAAAATTGACCCGTTTTTTTGAATTGACCCGTGTTGTTGTATATTGGGCCCCTGTTGGGTTTTAATTGACCCCCGGGTTTTTGAAAATTTACCCGGTTGTTGTTTTATTGACCCCTGTTTGGATTTGACCTGTTTTTTTAAATTTAAACCCCTGTTGTTTTATATGGGCCCCCGTTTTTTGTATTTGACCCCCCGTTGTTTGGGATATTGACCCCTTTTTGTTTTTTATTGGCCGTGTTGTTGTTTTATTGACCCCTTTTTGTTGGAATTTGACCTGGGGTTTTTGTTATTGACCCTGTGTTGTTTTTATTTGACCCCTGTTGTTGTATATTGACCCGTGTTGTTGTATATTGACCGTGTTGTTGTATATTGACCCTGTTGTTTATATTTGGGCCCGGGGTTTTGTATAATTTACCCGTGTTGATTTATTGACCCGTGTTGTTGTTTTAAATTTCCCCGGGGGTTGTAATTGGGCCCCTGTTGTTTGTTATTTGACCCGTGTTTTTTATAAATTTACCCTGTTTTTGTATATTGAAACCCTTTTTGTTGTAAAATTGACCCTGTTTGGTTTTTGTAAAAAAATTAACTTGTTTGGTTAAAATTATGGTTTAATTTAAAACCGGCGGAATTGAAAGGGGAAGAGGGGTGAGAGGGGTTTGGGAAGGGGGTGGGAAAAGAGTGGGGGGATGGGGGATTTTTGGGGTTAAGGGGTTTTTGGGGGAATTGGGAGTGGGAAAAGGGGGGTTGGGGAAGTGGGAAGGGGGTGGGAAGGGGGGAGGGGGGGGGAAGGGGGGTTTTTGGGGGGGGGTGGGGAGGGAAAAAAAAAAGGTTGGAGTTTGGGGGGGAAATGGGAAAAAGGGGGTGGGGAGTGGAGGGAATGGGAGGGAGTGGGAGGGGGGTGGGAGGGGGGTGGAGGGAGTGGGAGGGGGTGGGAAAGGGGGTGGGAGGGAGTGGAGGGGTGGGGGGGGAGTTTGGGGGGGAGTGGGAGGGATGGGGGGGGTGGGGGGTTTGGGGGGGAGTGGGAGGGAGTGGGGGGGGAGTGGGGGGGAGTGGGGGGGGGTGGGAGGGGTGGGAGGGAGTTTGGGGGAGGTTGGGAGGGGTGGGAGGGAGGGGAGGGGTTTGGGGGGGAGTGGGAGGGAGTGGGAGGGAGTGGGGGGGAGGGGAGGGAAATGGGAGGGAGTGGGGGGGAGTGGGAGGGAGTGGGAGGGAGTGGGAGGGAGTGGGAGGGAGTGGGAGGGAGTGGGAGAGAGTGGGGGGAGTGGGAGGGAGTGGGAGGGAGTGGGGGGGAGTGAGAGGGAGTGGGGGGAGTAGTGGGAGGGAGTGGGAGGGAGGTGGGAGGGAGTGGGAGGGAGTGGGAGGGAGTGGGAGGGGAGAGAGGAAATGGAATGGAGTGAGTGAGAGGGGGATAGGGGGTTGGAGGGAGGGAGTGAGAGGGAAAAGAGGGAGGGGGAGGGAGTAAGATGGGGAAAGAGGGAGTAAGAGGGTAAAGAGGGAGTGGGAGGGAGTAAGAGGGGAAAGAGAGAGTAAGAGGGTAAAGAGGGGGTGGGAGTGAATGAGAGGGACGGGGGAAAGTCAGATGCAAGGGAGGGAGTAAGAGGGGAAAGAGGGGCCAAAAATACAAGCTGAAACACACAATAACAATAATACCAGCAGCAACAAACAATGAGTCATGATAATTATATTCAAAAAAATATAATTTCTTAGTCGTTTTGGAATTATTTCTTTAAAGGGAATTCATGATGATTTTTGTATTCAATAATTTATACGCGGTCAGTATCGTTTATTACAATTTATTCAATCGTTGAGGTGAGTAATCATGATGAATGAGTCTCTGTTGAGTCTGTATGTTAAGGCACATGAGTCAGCATGCTAAGGAGAGTGAGTAATGAATAAGGGATGGATGAGTCAGTGATCAGGGCAGTAATACGCTCCTAGCCATCAAATATTTAATGATCACGAGAAATCGTCACTTGGGCCAAGTCATGAGCCTCACTGAGTCATATTAAGTCAAACGGGGTCATGTTAAGTCGTACGGGGTCATGTCAAGTTATACTAAGTCAAGTCACACTGGGTCATAAGTCACACTGGGTCATAAATCACACGGGGTCATTTCAGGCCGTACCATGTCATGTAAGCTCGCACGGGGTCACGTCGGATCATTGTGGATATAAGAGCCACTTCTCTGTTCATAGATTTACCTAAGACAAATTTGCCTGTCCTACCTGGCAGAATATATTTCGATCATTTACATATATTTAAGCTATGAAGATCTGACAGTGATAGGCTCTGGGCTGCCT